AGTGAAGGTGATGTCCAGAAACTGATTGGCTTCCCAGATGGAGGAACAAAACCTCTGTATGTATAGACATATTGAATCAACTATACAGGCCATCTCGTCCACAGGGGTTGAAACAGATATGAAAAATCTGTTAACAAATAACTGCATTGCTTAAATACTACAAAACATAAATGGGAATAAAAGGATAGGTGTCAGGTGTACCTCTTTGGGGAACTGATTCCATAAATGGGATCCCCAACTGAAAAGGCCCTTCCTTTGGAGGGGTCTCCGTAAGAAAGATCCCAGAAGATGATCTTAAGGCCTGGGTATTTCCATATGGGATGAAGTGTTCCTTCAGATAACCTCCCCAAGCTGTTTAGGGCTTTAAATGTTACTACTAGCTCCGAAATTGGGCCGAAGCTTCAAATGGGAGCAATGCCTGCTGTTGAAAGAGGACTGGCGTAATATGATCTTGTGGGCCAGCCCCCATTAGCAGCTACCCCATTTTGTCTCCTGACCCTTTTCAAAGGCAGTCCCATGTAGGGCGCATTACAATTGTCCAAACAAGAGGCTACCAGAGCATGGAGTACTGTAGCTGGGCTCTGCCTGTCCAGGTAGGGTTTGTTTGTTTATTTATTTATTTGGAATTTTTGTATGCCGTCCCATTCGCATAAGCCTTGGGACGGCTTCCAACATAATAAATTAACACCCATATAAATAGATACATAGAAAATCTGGATTCACCCTGGCTATAGAATTTTTTAAAACCAATAAATAATCTAAACAATTATTAAGATATTGTTTAAATAAAAAGGTCTTGGCCTGGCGCCGAAAAACAAATAACGACATAATAACAAATAATAACAAATATATCAGCCTAAGCTGCTGAAAGGCGCTCTGCACCAGAGGCCACTTGTGACTTGAGTGACAATTCTGGATCATGAGACACCCCACCTGGATTCTTTGAGGTGAACTCAATTCTTGCTCAACAGGAGCCTCTAGTACACAGAGACCTCCAGCGCACAGTTTTCCTTACTCTCCACTTGTGACATACACCATGCCCAGTATGCAAGCTGTCAAACAACATTTAATTCTGTGATAAGGATCAGCTCACATTGGCCCAGTCAGGAAACCACGTGGTTCTCTTTGCTGAGACATCATTCATCAGTCTCTCCCCTGCTCCTGCTCCCCATCCATAATTGGAAACAGTGATACTGGCATGCCTTGTGGGGCTTCTGTACAGTTTATTGAGATACTATGCATGAATTGCTTTTGAGCACTTATGGGAAAAAGATGGACAATATTCAGGATCCTACCAGCACCGGAGTCATTATTAAAATCTATACCTTATTATTCAAAATATATTCTCAAAGTAGTTTACAGTAAAATGTTTCATACACCATTAACTAGTGCAGTAAGACATGCTGAAGCAGCAAATCTATAAAAGTAGCATTAAATTAACCTAAGAAAACCTGAGCAACAGATGTTAAACAAGCAGGTGATCAACCTACCTGATGCTGGAAGGACATTAACATGGGTGCTAGGCAAGCCCTTCTGGGGAGAGCATTTCAAAAGTATGAAGCCACCACTGAGAAGGCCTGCTTTCTATTAATCACCTGCTACACCTCAGATGGTGGAGCAAGCAGACAGTAATTCTGTCCATTCTTACCCCAAATTTTTAATTTAATTTAATTTTTTTTTGCAATTTCAGACTGGCAATGCAATCTATTTATCTGGAATTCCAAAGGATAGACCTTGTCTGTCTGGATAAGCTGCTGTGCATCCTTTGCTTTGCAGAGCACTGTCTTTTGGAATTCGTCTGTTGGAGGTTGCTACAGGTCTTGTGGAATTAACAGATACAACAAGAATCTAGATCAGTGCTTGAGATAATCCCTGTTCTGTAGTTAGAAATGACCTAGTCCCATTCTGAGCATGTCCTGTGAACACCAAGAGAAGAGTGGGGCATGAGGAGACTTGAACGAGGGGATGGAAGGTGTGCTCAGACTAGACCAATGACACAGGTGGAGTGGGGGAGAGGACTGGGCAATTGTGGGTTCCCTTCAAGAGGAAGAGAGGGATCTTGAAAAAGCAATAAAATGATCCAAAGGGGGATGAACTTCTGATAAATAAAAAGATCATCCAGGGCCAGAGTCAAAGGCTTGCATGAGCCTTTGGCAGGAGGGTACGTTGCCAATAGGAAGTACGGCCTCTGCCAGAGAGGAACCCAATGTCTGCTTTCTCAACAGACTTCAGTTTGGATTAGTGCAATTCTGAAAAGTTGAGGTGGAAAGCAAACTCTGCTAATCCGGAAGTGAAGTGCATGAATGAGCAGTAACGCCACCAAGTGAAGCCAAAGAGAGGGATGGTTTATACTGAGATACAGAGCAGAGGCTGGTGCAGTAGGCTGGTTTGTTGCATGATGGAAGCACTGCTATAGACTCACTCCCCAATTCTTAAAGCCTAATTCCATGGAAAACAGCACTCTGGGTAAAATGCCTGCATTCCTGTCTATAGACCATACGGAGAAATGAAATGTACAGGGAGTTGCTATATTCATTCCCCAAATAACATTTTTCATGACATTTATTTTACAGTGAGACACAGTCCACTAAAAATGCAGATGGTAATAAATGTGAATTTGGACTAATGCTTTATATTAGCCAAAGAGAGCAGCCTATCCTCAGCATGAAATACTTTTAATGCACAGCTTTGGCTCAGTGCATTCTATTTTTTTGTTTCTTTATTTCAGTCTCTACTGCCCAATTGCCAAAGTTGAGGCATAAGAATTTCAGTTCAATAAACCATGGTGTATTGATCCAAGGACAAGCTTTGTGCTCATGTCTTCTCTTCTCAGCTCAGCTCTTACCCATTTTCTATGACAAGCTTTGAGAAAGATCCCGTGGCTTGTTAGGCTACTGCTTCTCATGATATCTATCTAAATAAGGAAACTGTAGTGTAAGCATTGCTCACAAGCCAAGCTATCAAACAAGGAACACATTCCAAAAAGATTGTGGCAATCTTCTCACAAGATCCCTCTAAGGCTGATTTAAATATTTCAAAAGCAAACTGGATTTCAGAGCAGGAAGTAGACAACCTGCAGATATATTGCTTCTACATAATGGTTTATTATTAATAGTTAATGGACTTACTATAAATTACTTAAACATAGCTTTAAGAGTTTCAAATTCCGAAGCATTCCGAAGAGCTCAATAAAAATACTTATTTAATTCAATTTAAAGCTTTTTCGGTGTCAAGAAGCATAAAAACGTGCTGCTGGCTCATTACACATCAACTGTTGTCATCTGGAAGCAGGAACCAAGGGATAAACTAAATTTGATTATGATGTATTTGGCTTGAACCATGTGAAGCTGAAATTGTATAATCTCGATTCACAAAGAGATTTAGAACAATATGAATCAGATTTAGGACAATACAGATCTTTTAAAATATTGTTATTGTTTTAAAAATATAAAACAGAAACAAATGTATTAACAATAAAAATAATTAACAATGCATTGCTCTAAATTTCCTATAATTCATTAAAATATCATAGTAGGCGTATCAGAATCCATTCCAGCCCTTCTTCACTTTCCATGAAGTAATGAGAAGGCTCTTTACTTGCCTAATGGCTTAGGATAATTTGAGCACCCAAGAAGCAGAATGTATAATGGATTTCAAATATTCATTAAATAAATTAGTCCAAAGAATTACAGAAGAAACTCAACATGTTTTATTCAATTAGTCAGGAATGACAAAAGAGGATGTTCAGTTTTAAAGTCTGGGTTTTCCCAAACTGCTTCCATATGTTCCTGGGCCTTGCTTTCTAGATGGCAAAAAGAATGTCTTTCCCTAGATGAGAGTCCTCAGAAAAGCTTTTAAGATGGAGGGAGAGCTCAAAGCAGCCAGGGGAGGACCGGCCAAGTAGGCAGAATCTGGCCAAGACAAGCACATCAGGCACAGCAAACTAAGACAAGACAGAGGTCCTCTTGGGTAAAGGGACCACAGATGGCGCATAGTAAGCCTCCCTGGCTGGAGTTCTTTCCTTCTAGAAATATAGAACGATGTTGTCTCAGCAACAAGTTAATGGCCAACTGAAGCCTCATTTAGGCAGCCAGGAGCTGTAAGATCCACCCTTTTTGAAATACTTGGCTGAACCATTAAAGGACCATTACTTGATTCTGCAGTCTTAGATTTTGGGGAGGCTGGGGAAATGGAGGGGCTAAGAAGAATTATGGGATTCTGAAAATGGAATTGGCAGAACTTATCTTACCTTGGGAGAGCAGTCTGACCCTCCTCAGTCTTCTTGTACCCTGAAAAGTCAGAAAATTGGGAGACATGAAAGTACTCTTGATGATTGGGGAGGGAGAACTCAGCCCATTGGCCATCTTGGGGTAGGGTTGTTGTTCCCTTTACTCCCTCTTCCAGGGTGCCTAATCTAGTTCTTGCACTTTTACAGTGGCTGGAGGACAGCCCTTCTGTAGCCCTTCCCCATTGAGTTATTTTTGTTTGAAACTTCGTACCCCACACTTCTTTCCCCCTTTGTCTTTATCTTCCCTCTAAAGGCACAAAGCAATTTGTGGCAGGGGATATTTAACTGAAAGACTGACAGAGGGGAAAGGGTTAAGATCCTCTAGAGTGTGTCCATAAATAACCAATTATTTCCTTTTCCTTTTTCCTTGACAGCTGTAATTTGAATGTAGTTTCTTCTCTTTTGATTATGTTGAATAATACGATGTGTGATTGTTACCAACAAATAAAGAATGGTAAAGTAATGCTATTTAACTTGTACAATTTATACCTGTCAGTTTTAACTTGTTGCCAATACTACTATGCAATATTTTACACGGCCCCAAGGGTAGAACCTACGTATTTAGTACTTAGGTTACACAGTTTGTTCTATACGCCCATACACACAGGAAACTTTCAGTTAGCTCTGAGATCTTAGTATGATTTATCATACAGGATACCTTACCACTGCAACACTCACAGCTGAGTCAATATTGAGCAATGCCTCAGTCACCCTTATTGTTCCTCATTGGTTTCTAAGGGAGCAGAAGCACACTTTTGGAGTCTGCTCTTTCCTTCTTCTTAATAAGGTAAGCTTGCCACCAATATTTAGGGGCTGGTCTCTGTGTGCTTGGGAGAAGATGTATGGTGGAGCAGGCAGGGACTTGGGGTCATAGGAACTCCTGGTCTGGATTGATACAGGTGGTTGCAACCATCTTATTTCTCATCCTGGCCAAACTCAGAGAAAGGCACCAAAACATATTGTGCATTTGTGCAGTGTGTGTGTTTAAGTGATGCCAAGAATGCTTTTAGATCGGAGTGTGTGTGTCACTTGTTAATGGTATTTGGGAACTAGTATTTTAAAATGGAGCACACATTCTAGTAAGTGTAGGTTTTATATTCAAATGATAGGAAAGGGAAACGCAAAAACTTTCTACTCACGGTAACAGTCCCTAACACAAGCATTCGCTTTGTTTCCAAGGCTCTCGTGCCCCACTCCCCCCCCCCCCCGTTTTGGTTGGGCAGCTCTTGGCATAAATGTTTTATTCTTAAAGTGAGCGTTGGTCATTAAATTAGGGCAGCCGTAGCAAGAAACCAACAGGGAGCGTATAGAAATGGCCTTAAGACAACCACGGTTGCCAGATCACCTTTTGAAAAATAAGATGCACTGTGGCGGTTTGGGGCTTATTCTTCGACGTATTCCATGGAATGGCAGTAGAACGCCGACCGTACAAAACGGGGTCCTTTCCACGTACAGCTCCTGGGAAACTCCACTGTAGCGCGTCACATCGCGGTACTAAACTGGAGGAAGTTTGGGAGACTGAACGTAAGCAGCCTCCTCGGTGCAGCTTTCCTTAAAGCGGTGGACTTCGGCTCGTAGCAGAAGTGGGTTCGGGTTTCTCGCGCTCTCCGGGTTGTGTGTGGATTCCCGAGGAAGGAGTAACGCTGCATTAGCAGATCCGGAGGTGAAGCATGGTTGGAAAACGCCGTGTAGATAAGATCAAAGACGCAGCGTGCCTCGTGTCCCCAGCTCCGCCGATTGTATTTTTGGGCAGTGGAAGATCGCAAGGAGCCCGCTTGATTTCTCTCAAGCATTTGGAGGACTAGAGGTGCCTGAATTATGGGCGGCCGGGCGGGGCGAGGGGCAGCTCTTCTCCCTCCTGAAATGCACGGAATAGGATTGAATGGCATAATGGAAGCATTCAGCTCCGAGGCTGGTTAGCGCCTGGCAGAGGGTCAGACTGGGAAACAGCCCAGCCAATCAGGCTTGATGTTCTGGTTCGCGTCTGTTGGTTGCCCGCGCTGAGCAAGCGCCGGTCTTTCTGAACCAGGCCCTGGAGCTATCGAGTTAATGGCACTGAAACCGGCTTAAGCGGGAAACGTGTGTGCTGCCGTTTCTCCTGCAGATGTCGGGGGTCGCCCCGGCGTCCTCCGTGGGCGCACGTGGGGCAGAGGGTAAGCGAAGCCCCAGGCCCGCTTCCTTCTCCCCGCCGCTCCTGCCCTCTCTCGGCGTCTCGGCGCGCCTGGCGCGACCACGAGGTGCGCGTGCAGTCCGTCACGTCCTTCACGTCTGCATGCGGGAAGGCGCCCCTGGCTGCGGCGCCGCCCTGCCTTGCCTTGCCTTGGCGCGGCGTGGCGCGGCGGGGGGGGAGCGGGGCCGGCGTAGCTGTTCCCCCGCCTGCGGGAGCCACGTTCCCGCCATGTGTTGCCTAGGAGCCGGCAAGCAACTTCGCCCTCCTTGGCCGGCCCTCCCCAGCCCGATGCACCCCAGGCGCGTTGGGGCTGCAGCTCCTGCAGTGCTCGTGAAGGATGGCTGTGGCAGCCTGATCCATCTGGAGGGCTCCAGGTGAGGGGCGGGGGAGAAGGATGGCTGAGGGCAGCCTTCCTCCTACCTGGGCTCTTGGAAGTCAACCCCCATCAGCCCCAGACAGCATTGGTCACGAATGGTTGACGTTGTCGCCCAAAGTTACTTGGAAGGCGCCAGCTTGGAGAAGGCTGGCTTCGGGTGTCCTGCTAATGGCAGCCACATTTCCCCCTTTGCTATTTTACACGGACATGCACACAGACTATTACTGGCACCTCCTAGTCTTTCCTTACAACTTTTTTTATTTCCTACTTGCCTGTATCTCTGGGCCATATTTCTAGGTTACTTTTATTTCACTTGCAGCTCTTCTACCCAGCTGACTAGTTCCAGTAATCTCTATTTTTACTATGGAGTATTTTGATAGTGATAGAAGCATGCTGCTCACTGTGCCAGAAACAGAAGTTATATAACCTTCGTAGCTTTTAAACTGTTGAGTGTGTCTTACTGCATAATAACATCAGAGCTGCACAGGACATAAAGGAAGAGATCAGTGTGCCTTTGTTAATGGAATTCTGAACTTGGTCAGGGAGATGAGTTGAAAATCCCTGCATCTTTGGGTGACCTTGGAGTGGTCACTGTGTCAGCTTATACAGTTGTTCCGAAGATATAAATGGGGAGAAAGAACCTAGTGGCACCCAAACTGGCCAAGAGCAAGTGTGCAATAATGCAGAGACATCAGTCAGTCAATATGATGTGGTCACAGATCCGACAAAATCCATACAAATGTCTCAAACACAATTAAAAACAGGCATAGCTTAAAAACAATAAGCATTATATAAATGTTTACAACACCTGTGGTTTGCAGTCCATGAGCACCTGTGTGGACTGTTTCATGGTAATGACCGGGGCATATGTCCAATTAAATATGCCTGCAAATGGCACTGAAAAAAAACCACCAGGCTTGATAAAAGAGTGGCAAGGTTGAGGAATTCTTTAGTCCTCAGTTAAATCTTGAGGCACCTAAATATGTGTCTAGTTCTTTTATATTTTGCAGTTGCATGGTAATGTGTAGAAAATAGCAGCATTGTGATCATTATAATGTATTGAATTAGTGAGGAAAGTCTAGCAGTCCTCTTTCCTTTCAATGGTTGTGTTTTAGGAAGATGATACATCTCCAGAAACATACCTTTCTACCTGTCTGGGAAAATCCCTAATGGCTTCTTCTAGTTTTAGAACTCTGCAACTTTTGCTGTTTGATGTGATCGTAGTGATGGCATTTTTTGTGGCGAGCATTGTGTTAAATATGAGTTCCCCAAATTTGGTATCCCCCTTCAAATTGATGTGCCAGTTTTGTGCCACAAATCCCAAGTTCTGTGCCAGTACCCAAAGCACAAAAATGACATGCCTGGCAGGTAGGCTCTCGCTGAACTATGAAAAACACATCATTGCTTCCATCTGAACCTTTGCAAAGTTTATGCCACAAACTCCCATGCCAGCACAGGGCAGCATTTAACTTTGCCATAGGTTTGGTGGGGACATCAGATTTGGGACTTTGCGGTTAACTTGTCTCACTGGGGCGAGCTGTCTGGAAGGGAGCCCTCCTGTTACGTCTTGCTCCTCACCAGTGAGATTGAATCAACTTTGCCCGGATAGTCACAGTGATCATCCAAAAAGCATCTTTTGTATTTGGCAATGGTAAGAAGTAACAAAGGGAGGTAGCAAAATGTGATTTTAGCTTTGGATTAATGGAAGTTCCATGTGTATTGAACTTCTCTTAGGAGCAAGATAACTTTAAATGGAAATAGCATTTGTGTTCTTTCATAAACAACCTCATGGGAGTTCAATATTTATTTTCATTTCATCATTAAGTTTTTATGTGTTTAATTAGATCCCAAATTACACAGATCAGCTCACTTTTGCACATACTTCCCTTGAGGCAAGAATATGTGTAGTAAAGTGAGGGAAAAATCAAGTTTATCTGAGGTGAAACAGGTATGGACAGATGCAAATACTCATAATTCCGGAACAAAACATTTCACTCACCACAGTACAGGATGTTCAGAATCTTACTGGTAGGAAGAGGAGAATATGAGTTTGAAGATAAGGAAAGGAAAGCTGACTGTATTGTAGGAGGGAAAAATAAAGAAGAGCCACATTTTATACTTTTAAGTTTAAAAGGTAAAATTTTAAAGGAAGCAGAACAGAATAGCCAGTGAGAGAGAAGATGGTTGGCCAAAAAGAAAAAGAACAGTGAATGGGTGATTATAATCCAGAGGCTGTAGCAGATGACATCTGCTATAGCATCATTTTCCTATTTCTCCATCATTTTCTGAAGTGAATACATCTCTTGGATGCACAGCCTAACATGAGAAGGGAGGTTGAGAGGGTCAGAGAAGCCAAGAGCCACACTACCTCGAGGCCAGACTCTCTCACTAGTCTGGTCTTCGAACAGGGTCACCCAAGGCAGAATGTTCAAAGCAGAAATACCAGACTAAGATGAATCCATCCTCTTCAGGAGTAACAGTCACATTAGCAAAACAGAATGGATATCTGTCGTGGTGATGGGGGTAGAGATACTGCTGAAGGGCAGCTACTAGTCTGTAGTGGTAGTTGAATGTAACTCTAATGGAGGATCTTTCAGACAATGGAGGTGATGCGTAGGCTAACCCTCGTTAGTATTATGCAGAACAATGCAACAGTAAACCACTTTTGTATACACTACCCCCCATATCTCCTGTTTCAGTTACTGTGGTTTCACTTAACTATGGTTGACTGTGGTCCAGAAATGACTCAACACACTGGAGCACAGCCTGCTCTGGGGGAGCTTGTCCTGCACTGTGTTGTGTTATGAGATTTGTGTGCAAGCACATGCCTAGTCCTGAGTCCTTGGGTGGCACACCATTCTTGGCCAGCTGTGGTGGTGGCTGGGAATGGGAGTGTTCCCTGTGTAGAGACACAGCACTGTCTGCATGGGTTTCCTCCCCCCCCCCCCGCCCCATTGGCCATCCATGCTGCATTAGGCTGCAACACTCCCCCAAAATTCCCATTTATGATTGATGGCAAACTCACAAATAATCAAATCTGCAAAAGTTAAACCCATGAAAGTTGATGTTTGATGGTAGTGTTTGCTACTATCAGCGGTTTCAGGCATCTGCTGAGAGGCTTGGAACCTGTCCCCCCACAGATATGGGGGTCCTACTATTTTACTTTTTAAATTCTATGATGAAACAACCTAAAATGAAAGAACAGATAGTGCCAGAAGATGAGACTCTTAGGTTGGAAGCA